TCTCTTCTGTCGCCTTTCCCTTTATGTATCCCTACGGACCATTCATAGTTTGTCTTTTAGGTAATAATGCTGACCTCTTTGTTAAAATATAAGTCACTTAATTTGAAAAATGACTTAAATTTATACCAACATTTCTCTTCTCAACCCTTTTGTTTTGAATGAAATGATAAAAATGATATATGCTTTGTTTTATCATGGGAACTAAATTTGTGATCATGGCAGTTGCACTTTCATTGTCAAATTTACATTTTTGCTTCACATTCCAACAGTTTTCATAGTTTTTCTACTCGTGTGCGTTTAACCCTGCTTGAATTTGAAATTAAATGCTGAAAATTAGCTGTAATTTTTCCTTAAATGATATTTTCTTTTTGTAAAAGCCTCCGCACCAGTCATTTGGCTTGAATATGTCTATTTTTTATCAAAATTTATGTGATCAAGTATTTAGTGACATTCATGCTTATTTGCTTCAAATCTTTGGCCCAATCTTGTAATTTAAGTAATTGTACACAAATTTTCAGGCCAAAATGCACTCTATTTACTTTTATCTAAATTATTTTTGTAGTTTTGTCAACTAGTATAGCGATCCAATGTGTTCCCTTTGAATGATAAGTCCGGATATTACCAGCATTGTTGGTTTTTCACATTAGGAAGAAAGGATCTCCTGCTTGGGTTATATGATGGTTCCATATAGGTTAACTTTTTTTTTTCCCTCTAACCACTATTTGAATTGAGCGAGATCATTGAAAAGAATTCTTCCGATTAAGTTTTCAAGAGTTATTTGTAAGTGTCGATTGCTCCATGGATATTACTGGATTGTTGCAGTTTGGCAAGTAGGAGGAAAAGTCAATCTCTCCTTTATTTTCCTTGATCCCTGCAGTTATTGACTATCTTTGTTTAGTTAGAGATAACTCTGATATTGTGTTAGAAGTGAATAAATAGAATAAAACAAGATGGGCAATTAAATAATTTCTTCACTATTCAGCCTGGATGAAATTTTGGAATAAAACAATAGGAAAATACATCAATCATATTTTTATTTTTTTTTCGAGAATTGTATTGAATCTTCAGTACAACATTTACTTTTTGGGAAATTTACATGCCTAGAACACAATTCTTATGTATTCACATATCTCTCACCCAACACTTGGTGTTTAAAACCATGCATGAAAAGGTGTATTTGACTTTTAAAAAGTGGTAATAGTGCTATTTTTGATGTGATATTAAAGATTCGAATGCTATGTGTGTAAATATGGAAGTTTAGGTGTGAGCTATGTAAATGCATAAGAATTGTGTGCAATGTCTTTAAATGTCCCAATAAATAAATAAATAAATCGGCCAACTTCTCAGTGTAGGTGACCTTTTTCCTTGTCTTTGCTGGAAGTCCAACTATTGCCAAGTACTTGCAGAGGAAGTGAATCTTATAATACTCAATGAATTCATCTAGACCCGCTTGATCAATTGAAAGTCATTCAGCGAGTTTCTTGTTCTAGCCTTAGCACATATGAATAACAATCATGTAAGAAATCCCATAGCTTTTTAGATTATTCAAACCAATTGTACAATTATATCTTCAAACAAAATGGATTATATACACCCAACAAATTGTTAACCATAAGCTAGCCAATTTGTACTTTCATTACGTCTTGGATGTGATAGGTGCTAATTCTTCAAACACGAATAATAAGTTAGTTTTTTCATGATGATAATTTGCATAAGGTGATGCAAATAGCGTATGAATAGTTTGAGAATCTAAGATGAAAGCCGCATGTTAAGAAATTTGTTGGACCAAATGTTGGTACATGAACTTCAAATTCTAGAATAGTAAATTTTGGAGATGAAAAAGATGAGCGCGAGTTAATGGATGAAGAGATTTGAGAGCTATAAATCTAGTGAATGAATAATAGATTTTGGATGATGATGAAGATAGAATAGACACTGGCAGTGATTATTATTAGAAATAGCCTAATTATTAGGCTAACTACTGCTGCAATTATTATTAGTTTTTATTTGTGTTCTATATTTTTCATTTCTATATTTATGCATTTTCTAGTTGCTCTATTTTTGAATTAATGTCTTTCCCTTTATTTAGGTCTTGTGATATTTATTTATACCCGTTTTCCTATCAATGAATGAAGTTCTATTCTGAAAAGTGCACATGGTATTAGAAACGGGTTATTTACCTAGAACCTCTACCCCAGATGTCGACCATCTATAGGGCTTTCCCTGTAAGATTTCTGCTGCCGGCCAACTGCAGGTTCCCCGTGTTTTTCCCTGCTGCCAGAAATAGCGTTGACCACCTGCAGACCCTCCCTGCCACGCCTCCTTTGTCGTGACTCTTCTGTTATGAATACTTTGTCGTGTCCAATTTGTCGATGCTCCTTGTCGTGTCTCTTCTGTCGCGGTTGCTTTACCGCGTCCAATTTGCCATCCCTCCTACGTCGCGGTTGTTTCTATCGCGCTTTCTTCACCCCCTCAACATCTATTGGCATGTTCCAATCGCTGAAGATCCTATCTGCCGACCTGAGCTTTCTCTAACTAGCTTATTCTCCTTGCTGGTTATTTCATGGCTTCTTCTAGTTGTCGGACCTTCCATTGTTCAAAGTTCAAGATATCCCTGCAGTTTTTCAACGATCTTCCAATGTCTCGGCAGCCCAACATCACATTAGGCTCCGTTGGAATCTTGGTGGATTCTTCCACTACCGAGCCTTCTCCCGACGGTGTACTTGAGCCAACTGGAGGCTTGACACCTATCTCCACTCCATAGAGCGGAGAATCAGAAAACCAAATGAAGTTTCTAATCACCACCCATAAAATGACCGGTTCTAATTTTCTCCAATAGTCTCAAGTCGTGTCCTTGTTCTTCAAGGGACGAAGAAAATTCGAGTATCTCAAAGGAATGACTCGTGAACCTCCTTAAACTGACTCGATGTATGAAGCATGGGAAGTGGAAAATTTCATGGTCATGTCGTGGTTGATTACTCCATGGTGACTATGATTGGCCGTTCATATATGTTTCTTCCTTCAGGTAGACTGCATTTCGGGATATCTACTCAGATGTAAGAAACTCCAGCCGATTTTATGAGGTTCTCAAAAGGATTTGCGAGGCGAAACAGGGATCGAGGATGTGACGTAGTACTATAATTATTTGGCGGCCTTATGAATGAAATGTGATCTCTACTATTATTACACGTGAGAATCTCCGACAGATTTTTCTCTCTTTTAGAAAATTGTAGAAAAAGATCACATGTTCCAATTTCTGGCCAACCTTAACAAAGATCTTGTTGAAGTCCGGAACTGTATCCTCAGACGAGATTCCCTTCCTTCCGCTCGTGCTTCTTTCACAGAAATTTTATGTGGAAAAAGTTGGAGAATTGTTATGCTCGGCATTTCCATTTCAGTCGAATCTTCTGCATTAGCCTAATTGTATTCAGCACCCGTCAAACCCTCCTCGAACCACCGGGTCCACTTGTGATTACTATCACATACCCAACTATACTCGAGAAAGTGTTGGAAACTTCATGGAAAACCGACATACAAACCTTCAGTCAAATTTTTTTCTGCCAAGAGTCTCACTACGACATTTGAATCCACTACGGTACAACCAGCTTCCACTCGGAACACTCCAGAATCACACTACTCTCTCAAGAGTCAGATGTAGCAATTAATCAAGCTACTCGGATCAAATCAATTTACTTCAGGCCAGTCAACCTCCCACATTCGTCAAGGTACCACTCGTATGACACTCATTTCTTCTTTTGGTTTATGAATATTGATTTAGTGCTACACAACTGGATGCTCTCAAGTTTTCTCAATGTATTATCGATGCATTGGGAAAGATAAAGTTAAAATTGCTAATGACTCCGGTAACTCTATTGCTGGTAATGAGTCAGTTTTGTTAACAACTAGTCCAAGTCTGAATTCTGTGTTACATGTCCTATGCTCACGTGTAACCTGTTATCTGTTAGTAAGCTGACACATGATATGGATTGTGTTGTTAATTTTTCTGTTGATGTTTGTGTCTTTCAGGATCGTTGTTCATGGAAGATGATTGGAACTGCTAAAAAAGTACTTAGGATCTAATTCCAAGAGACACAGAGAACGAGGACATTTCTCCTAATAGTTGCAATTTTTTTCGATCCACTGAATGTCATATTTAGTTGTTGCATTATTCTTTGTCATTTTAGTTTTCAGTATTTAAACAATTGTATCCGTTGATGTTTACTAATAAAAATTTTACTAACTTCAAATATGAGATTTGCCAACTGGCTAAACATTATTGCATTCTTTATCCATCCCATCCTTACACACCTTCTGCTCAATTTTCTCTTATTAACAGTGACTTGTGGGGATCATCTTGCACTTCCAGCTACACTAATAAACGGTGGTTTCTTAACTTAATTGATGACCACACTCGAATGATGTGGACTTATATCTTAAAAGGTAAATCTAAAATTGTTGTCACGTTCAGAAACTTTAACTTTTTCATTTTGTCAAAATTCAAAACTTCAACTCCAAGTCCTTTGAACCGACAATTGTCGTGAATTTTTTAACTCTATTTTAGGTGAGTTCCTGGTAAGTAAGGGCATCATACATCACAGCCCGTGTATGAATACTCCTCAATAAGATAGAGTAGTCGAGAGAAAAAATCGACACTTTCTCGAAGTAGCTGGCTCTATTATGTTTCAATCTAGTGTCCCGAAAATGTTTTGGAATGATGTCGTCCTTACTGCCACCTATCCCATTAATATAATTCATAAAAAAATTCATAACTTCAGAACTAGCCATCTTGATGTCATGTTTTTCTACCAATCGGTTCTTCACTACTCTTGAATTATTTGGAATGTTATCCCTAATCGTAGTAAACTTGATCTCAGGTCTATAAAATGTTGTATTCGGATATTCTGCCACTCAGAATGGATATCAGTGTCTTGATCCTACCACAAATAAACTCTATGTAAGTGTCGATGTATTCTTCTTTGAAATTGATCCTACCACAAATAAACTCTATGTAAGTGTTGATGTATTCTTCTTTGAAAGTGTTCCCTACTTCCCTACATACTGCCTCAAGTGAGGGAGAACTTGATTTTTTGGATACTATTCCTTATCCGACCTCTGTAGATATTTCTCCAACGACTGTATCTGAGGAGCCTTCTGTCTCTCTGGACCCGTCACTTACCAAACAATCAAAACATCATCCCATTCTCCGTATCTATACTCGGTGCACTCATGTTCCTACTTTGGAGCTTGCTACCTCTTTACCGAACTTGAAATCCTCTTCGAGTGATATCCCAAAATTGACCCTATTACGAATGAGGAGGCGCGTTCTCCAGTTGAGGTATGTAATAAGGTAAGCTCTCCTTATTCCATGAAAAAATATTTCTCTTTCCACAGTGTATCGCCGACCTACAAAGCGTTGCTATTGCCCTGATGGATCATCACCTCCCATCCACTGTTGAAGCTGCATTAGTTGACCCTTTCTGGAAAGCTGCTGTAATGAATGATGAATGCCCTTTAGCGAAATCATACATGAGATGTTGTGGATCTTCCTCCAGGAAAGAAAAAAGTAGGGTGTCGCTGGATTTTTATCACCAAATTTAACTTCGATGGATACTTTGAACGTGACAAGGCACGGTCAGTTGCTAAAGGCTACTCACAAACATACAGAGTTAATGAGGATATATTTGCTCCAGTTGTTAAATTAAACACCATTAGGGTCTCACTCTCACTTGCTGTGAATTTTGATTACCCATTGCTCCAACTGGTTGTCAAATATACTTTCCTAATGAGGATCTCAAAGAGATATGTTCTTCCTTCCAGGCTTTGACTCTACTTTCTCCGCGGGACAAGTGTGTCGGTTGCGGAAGTCCCTCTACAAACTGAAGCAATCCACAAGGGCCTAGTTCGACAAATTCAAAAAGGTGGTAAAGGGTCATGATTTTTCGCAGGCCCAATCAGATCATACTTTCTTCTTTCAGCATTTCTCCAGTGACAAAATTGCTATTCTTATCATCTATGTTGACGATATTGTGCTCACAGGGGACGATTTACCAGCATTGTAGTCTCTGAAAGACATTCTTGCTACTTCATTTGAAATGAACTTGAGGTCACTCTAATATTTCGTAGGCATTGAAGTTGTTCGGTCATCTCGAGGTATTTGTCTCATTTATTTTGTTAGAGTAAGGCTTGATTATAGCTCATTTATTTTGTTAAATAAGTAACTCATTAATAAGCTCAATAATCCTTATATGAGTCGAGCACAAACAAGATATTGATAAATGAGCTCGAGATAGAAGCTCAAATCAAGATTGAGTCGAGCTCCTCGAACAAGCTTTTGATGAATGAGCTTGGGCTCTTACAAGGATACATTCGGATCAACTCTATTCGTTTGTAGTTTGAGCAAAAATGCAGTAATTTAGCGATACTTCTGCCTTGGACTTCTCAATATCATGTATCTGAAAAAAAAAAACTTTCCCTCTATTCATCAATAAAAATCCAATAATATTCGAGCATGAAATTCATTATCTAAACACACTCAAAGTACTATCCTAATCATTCATATAAAACCTCACAATCTTTTGCTATTATTCATGGTGATATTAGGAACCCAGCTCTGATGAAAAGTATTTACCGTGTTTTGTGATTTATATCATTTGTTAATGATCATACTAAGATCTTTCAATTTTTTTTTTTTTAATGAAAGACAAATCTGAAATAAGTTTTATTTTACAAAAGAATTTCTTTTCATACAAACCCAATATAAAACATAATTTCAACCCGTTGCTCCAACCTTAAGATGAGTGCTGTTGAGATAACTGTCTCTTGTTACTACTTTAGGTTGGCACTTTATCGACTAATGTAAAAATAACTCCATAAATAAAGGCTTAGAAGATAAGGTTTTAATGATAATCTTCGTTGAGATTTGAGAGTGTCATCCATACAAACCATGTTTGCAGACTCAAGAGATCATTATATTGCTCAAAATAATTTTCAAGGGCATGGTTTGATAGATTCACCATGGTGATTAAAAGCCGGAGGTACTCATTGACACTCCTACAATACTTAATCTACCAACACATAATCTGAAGCTGTAATTTCTATTTTGATTGCATAGAAATTTTTTAAGCGGGATATTTCTCCACGTGTGGTCCTAGAAAATTACGGCCTTCCAGCGAATTCACAAAAGCCTCTAGCTGCTCCTCCATTCTACAGCCCACCAAGTTTCAAGCCGCCAGTTGGCAACCTTCGTTCTATTGTCTACCAACTAGGTCTGTGAAAAGAGATCATTATTCACAAATCGCTAGAGTTTCACTTGATAAAAAAAACTTCTGTTTGATTCATTTGTTAGGTAAGCTACTTAATACTGAATAGTTATTTTGAGCTTATTTTTTGAAATGAGCCGGACACATACAGAGCCTTATTTGATTGTATATGGCTTGTTATTCGGTACATACACACATACATACGTGTGTGTGTGTGTGTGTGTATATATATATATATATATATATATATATATATATATATATAGATGTATAGTATAAATATATATGTATGTATGTATGTGTGTGTGTGTGTGTGTGTTCAATCTTTCTGTATGTATGTATGTATGTAATGTCCGCCCGTCCCGTCACGTCCACACGTCCCGTCACGTCCACACGTCCTGTCACATCAGTCGGCCCGTTCGCCCGTCCTGCCCGCCCGCCTCTCTGTCCTGTTCGTCCCCGTCCCCGTCCCCGTCCCATCCCATCCCCGCCTCGTCCCGTCTGTCTGCATGTATGTCTGTTTGTAACTAATTAATTTATATTTTTTATGTTCATTAAATTAGCCGAGCCAAATTTTAATTTTTACACTTAGAATATCTCAGTGCCATAATTTTATAGATGAAAAGACATATTTCACTTTTAAAATCATAGTGATGGTGATACTTTTTATGTGAAGTTAAAGCTTTGATTGACATGCAAGTAGATATGAATGCTTAGTTGTTAGACACCTAATTGCATAAGAATTTTGTGGTATGTATCTAAATGCCCCTAATAAAACAACTCTTGTTTGTTTCCTTGTCAGGTGACTAGCGTGAACTACCACCCGAAGGATTGTTGCATGCTAACATCCTCTGTCGATGGCACTATCCGCATCTGGACAGCGTAGTCCTGTCGACTTCAACCAGATCGCTTAAATTTCTCTACATGTATTGTCATATACTTGGTGAATTTACTTCACTGGTGCTTTGGCGGCGAGCAGTATTTGTCTTGCAACAGAGTCCAAAGTTCGGATTAAAAAGAATTATATGATAAACTTCCAGGTGCTTTATTTTATTTTATTCTTTTATTTTGTGGCATAATGTGGAAGTAGTTAAAAAGAAGGATGGATAAGATGTATATTGACGTAGCATTGCTCATGCTGTTATGCACAGTTTTCATTTTAGTTTACTTTTTGGGATAATTACATGCTTAGCACTTGAAACGTTGATATTTATAAAAGTAGCACTTTAGTCAGTTTTTTTTTTAATTTACGCATGCCATGATCAATCATTTTGATATCTTAGTGAGAATTTGAAAAACGGATTAAAAAGGATGTCAATTTTGTAAATAGTAATATTTAGTGTGCTATGCATGCTTTTTTTTATGCAATTTGGTATTCTTTAGAAGGAGAGGGAGAGGAGTCAATTGAAATTTTATGCAGCAATGATATGAATTTGAGTTGGAATATTTACAGCCACGGTTTTGTGTGCGTGTGTGATAGTTTTCCCACACATTGGGCTGCTCAAACATCACAATTTATATTCGGTCCAGACACCGCATGTCTGGACGGCGGTTAGCCGTCCGCCATGTTGTCATACACCTCATCGGCAGCAATGTGGCGGTCAGTGCTTGTCCGTGGGGATGTACGGATGGAATATATTTTTCATTTTTTGAGTTACATTCAGGGGCTGTTTGGTGGGTATGGTCCTGAATTTCAACAAAAAAAGTGCTGCAGAAGACCTAACTTAAATGATCCACAATGAAATGAGTGATCTGTCTTGGCAGGATAGTGAAAATGTTATCAATAATAATAATTATTTTTTTTTTGTGATGAATACAATATAAATTTTAAGCGATTTCTTAATCTTAAAATAAATTTGATGACTAATTCAGAACTGTGAGCTACAATTTACTGTTGGCAGATACAAAAATTAGATGCAATCCTCGAAAACGCCTGATAGCAACTTCGTCGCGTCTATAATGAGTCGAACATGGGTGCACTAATTGGCTAACTCCAAGTTGATCTTATTTCAATTAATGTTTGGGACATTTATATACTCACCTCTTAAATCCTATGTATTTACATGACTAACACTTCATTTTTTTCTTGGGCAAGGTGATAGCTTTAATCTGGCTCTTTGAGATTCATGATTTTGTTCTAGACCAATATATTGAGAGCTTGGGCATGAACTGGATGATCAACAATCCTTTCAAATTAGGTTGGTAGGATTTTGTTTATTTATATGATTCTCATTTTTTGTGATACATAATGTTGGTCTTGATACACAAGAATATTTACAGTAATCATACTTTAAATACCAGGACTATCCTTAGCCTTGTCTAAAAATGAAACCTACCATCTAAGTTGCTTTAGGACCCATAGTCAATTCAAATAAAATCGGCTAACATCGCTCCCTTGTTCATAGGTTGACTTGATCCAAGCATGAGAAAGAGCCCACTTATCTCTTCCTCTCACTAGTCTACATGATATTTGGGATATTTTTTTTATCAAAATTTATTATTGGATAGGGTCCGAGATATTAGTATATATCTATATATATAATTCATTTTCAATGTAAAGGAGAGCAATTTAAGATTAATATATTGGAATGTATTAAAAGATTATTGATTTTTTAGTAGTTTTATCGAAGATATGAGCATTAATCAAGAATAAATATATCATAAATTTGACACAAATAATCATCTATTGATGGTAACTTTATCATTTTTAAATTTTAATAAAAGAAAAATTTATCCTCATATAAGATTGAATATCACTTCTTGGAACATTGTAATAAACATTTGCATGCATGTTATTATGTTGATGTTCATTTTTATCAAAAATGGTTTACAAAAGATTACTATATTTGGCATCCTCAATATGAATGACGGAGAATACAAATTATGGTAGAGTCAATATAACATCATGAGGGTTGCATGAGCCTAAACTTTATACAGATAGATAATAGATGGTTTAATGAACAAATTTTTGAAGTAGAAACGACTCATATCCATATATTTGATGTTGAAGAAGAGTCAAATGTAAAAGAAATTGAATTTTGTTCTTTGGTAACTAGCACTAATGAGCATTTTATGATAAAGTTATAGATGTTATCCAAAATTACCAATGATTTAGTAATTTTAATGTCTCAAATACTTGTCATGATGATTTAGATAAAGAGCTTATTTGGATCAGTGTAATGTTTTTATTCATGTCATTACGTCATGTTATTAAAGTGATGATTAACAGACTAGTAATTACTTAAACTAATTTGTGAAAAAACAAAGATTCTCTTGGGATCAAAAGTTGGACTCATAAATTCAAACATTACTTGATCGACATATATACTTGCATTATTAACGAGCGCGTCATTGCACAACGGATAACCATCTCCTAGCCAGTGTTATCCTTGGATCACCTGTTCTGATCACCATTACCATCGTCTAGCTGCCATAATCATTGCCCAGCCTCAACAGTCATAGTTGGATTATTGCCAACAAAATTAATCTCAAATCACAGTCATTTGAACCCTACTATCAATCCTTCATCGCCGCAGCTAAGTGGTTACTCATTCTTCAATGTTTCATTTCACTCTTCTAACAAATGTCAACATTAAACCCAATTCTTATATATTGTCTCCTTCAACTAAAGGGTTTCAGATTTTCCATAGAAAGTATCAGGAGTGATACTTACACTCTTTATTTCATCTATTTGTGTGTGAGTTATTTGTACAATGTTAAGCCAATAAACATTTATAATCTAACAGAGTAAACTTTTTCAAATATAATAATATTATATACCTTGAAAAAGGCTGAATAGCCCAATAAAGTGATAAAATGATGAACCCACTAGTAAGGTTTCAAACTAACTCACCAACCAAGTTCAACAAGTACTTGACCAACTATGTTTGAGGCATCACTTCTTAAGAGCAAGACAAACTCGTATCCCCAACATAAGGAGGAGAATTTACTATGACTAAAGGATGAGAACATATATAAATCATTCATGAATATGAGAGCTACTCAACCCAGCCAACCAAGACCCTACAACTCCCTCATCAATCAGGCTTAACTGATCAACTAGACCGGAAGATTGTCTTCTTGTTCTACATAGCTAATAATGAGACCCAACAAGTTTCTGAGATGCCAATTACTTTGTTTGAGTCCATATGGGGCCATATGCCCTTGTATTTTGTTTTATTTTTTTTTAATTTTTTGTTTCTTATATCATACTCTCCTTGGTGGTGCTTGAGATTGTAAATCTAACTTATAAATAGGAGATCCTAGTGAAAGCCCAAGCTTTAATGGGCTTTATATTTTTTTTTCCTCCTTTCTATGTACTTGTGTTCTCTCGAGCCTCCTTTAACGCATAGATTTTGTTTTAGTCCCTCTTTTTTCTCTTCACTCTAGTTATATTCACATGTAATGCACAAATAGAATTGGAACACACACACACACACACACACACACACACAC